CTTCATTAATGGTAGAAAGAACTCGGCGTTCTTATCCGGTGTCATTGTACCGTGGCAGTTCTGTGGGGAGAGATGTGTTGATCAGTACACATATTTCTGTTTCCCTCCACAACCATTTCTGCCTGGATAATCCTCTCTCTCTTCTTTCTCTCTCTCTTCTTTCTCTCTCTCTCTTCACTCTTTCTCTCTTCCCACTCTCTTATTCCCTCCACACATACAAAAGAATAAACAGGCAGACAACACAGCTCTCATAGAGACTGCGTGGAATAATAGCCACTGCAGTATTTCCAGTGGGATACCTTATACTGAGATGCTAAATGTCATAGATATGTTACACTATTGGTAAGGAACCAGTAAAGTTCTGAGAGTCATCAATATTGATTTCGTCAGTCACTACACAGCAGGAGACACAGTGATCAGTATTCGTGTCACAAGAAATGGATTTACACTGAAGACATTTCGAACGGTTTCGAGCCAGTTATTTACAACTCTCCACCAAACAGCAAGAAACCCAGACAGGAGTATGTGATAAGACCCCACAGAACATAGCCTAACACACCTCTCACAACACCTCACACAACACCTCCCACAACACAACACACCTCACACAACATCACCTACAACACACCTCCCACAACACAACACCTCCCACAACACTACACCACCTACAACACAACACCTCCCACAACACACCACCTACAACACACCTCACACAACACCTACAACACACCTCACACAACACCACCTACAACACACCTCACACAACACAACACCTACAACACACCTCACACAACACCTTCCACAACACAACCAGACACAGTTACTTAAATAGATATTCTGTGTACTATTCTCCTCTCCCTCCTAACCTGTTCTTCCCATGCTACTTCTCCTCCATTCCTCATTCACCTTCCTAACACACGATAGTTATTAATCTAAATCAATAGCAGATAATTCCTCTCAGTTGATAGTCTGGGTATTGACTGGCAGTAGTCTGCTATCTGGATAGTCTGGGTGTTGACTGGCAGTAGTCTGCTATCTGGATAGTCTGGGTGTTGACTGGCAGTAGTCTGCTATCTGGCTATAACATGTACTAGTAGCCATCTTCCTCTTGCTCCTAGTCCTCCTCCTAGTGCTCCTGCTCCTAGTACTGCTCACTGAGTGACAATATCAGTCGTAATCTACCTAAGAATTTACCTGCTCACATAAGTTCCATCATTAACGATACCTTCGTCTGATTATACTCTCTTGTCATCAATCAGGGAAGTGTGGCCCACTCTCCCAGGCACCGTGTGGCCCACCCTGTGTCAGGCACCATGTGGCCCACTCTCCCAGGCACCGTGTGCCCCACCCTGTGTCAGGCATCATGTGGCCCACTCTCCCAGGCACCGTGTGGCCCACCCTGTGTCAGGCACCATGTGGCCCACTCTCCCAGGCACCGTGTGCCCCACCCTGTGTCAGGCACCATGTGGCCCACTCTCCCAGGCACCGTGTGCCCCACCCTGTGTCAGGCACCATGTGACCCACTCTCCCAGGCACCGTGTGGCCCACCCTGTGTCAGGCACCATGTGGCCCACTCTCCCAGGCACCGTGTGGCCCACCCTGTGTCAGGCACCATGTGGCCCACTCTCCCAGGCACCGTGTGGCCCACCCTGTGTCAGGCACCATGTGGCCCACTCTCCCAGGCACCGTGTGGCCCACCCTGTGTCAGGCACCGTGTGGCCCACTCTACCAGGCACCGTGTGGCCCACCCTGTGTCAGGCACCATGTGGCCCACTCTCCCAGGCACCGTGTGGCCCACCCTGTGTCAGGCACCATGTGGCCCACTCTCCCAGGCACCGTGTGGCCCACCCTGTGTCAGGCACCGTGTGGCCCACTCTCCCAGGCACCGTGTGGCCCACCCTGTGTCAGGCACCGTGTGGCCCACTCTCCCAGGCACCGTGTGGCCCACCCTGTGTCAGGCACCGTGTGGCCCACTCTCCCAGGCACCGTGTGGCCCACCCTGTGTCAGGCACCATGTGGCCCACTCTCCCAGGCACCGTGTGGCCCACCCTGTGTCAGGCACCATGTGGCCCACTCTCCCAGGCACCGTGTGGCCCACCCTGTGTCAGGCACCATGTGGCCCACTCTCCCAGGCACCGTGTGGCCCACCCTGTGTCAGGCACCATGTGGCCCACTCTCCCAGGCACCGTGTGGCCCACCCTGTGTCAGGCACCATGTGGCCCACTCTCCCAGGCACCGTGTGGCCCACCCTGTGTCAGGCACCATGTGGCCCACTCTCCCAGGCACCGTGTGGCCCACCCTGTGTCAGGCACCGTGTGGCCCACTCTCCCAGGCACCGTGTGGCCCACCCTGTGTCAGGCACCATGTGGCCCACTCTCCCAGGCACCGTGTGGCCCACCCTGTGTCAGGCACCATGTGGCCCACTCTCCCAGGCACCGTGTGGCCCACCCTGTGTCAGGCACCATGTGGCCCACTCTCCCAGGCACCGTGTGGCCCACCCTCCCACGCACAGTAACCCACCCTCCCACGCACCGTGTGGCTCACCCTCCCACGCACCGTGTGGCTCACCCTCCCACGCACCGTGTGGCCCACCCTCCCACGCACCGTGTGGCCCACCCTCCCAAGCCCCGTGTGGCCCACCCTCCCACGCAGTGTGGCCCACCCTCCCACGCACCGTGTGTCCCACCCTCCCACGCACCGTGTGGCCCACCCTCCCAAGCACCGTGTGTCCCACCCTCCCACGCACCGTGTGGCCCACCCTCCCAAGCACCGTGTGCCCCACCCTCCCAAGCACCGTGTGTCCCACCCTCCCACGCACCGTGTGTCCCACCCTCCCAAGCACCGTGTGGCCCACCCTCCCAAGCACCGTGTGGCCCACTCTCCCACGCACCGTGTGGCCCACCCTCCCAAGCACCGTGTGGCCCACCCTCCCAAGCACCGTGTGGCCCACCCTCCCAAGCACCGTGTGGCCCACTCTCCCACGCACCGTGTGGCCCACCCTCCCAAGCACCGTGTGGCCCACCCTCCCAAGCACCGTGTGGCCCACCCTCCCACGCACCGTGTGGCCCACCCTCCCAAGCACCGTGTGGCCCACCCTCCCAAGCACCGTGTGGCCCACCTTCCCAAGCACCGTGTGGCCCACCCTCCCACGCACCGTGTGGCCCACAAGAAACTTATCGCAGCAGTTTCATGTTCTTTCTAACAGGATAACAGCAGTGACGGGAGGGAAGGGAGAGTGTGGGGAGAGCCTTCGGTTTTACTATTCTCGCCTCAACTGCCTGGATAATAGTAAATAGTACTTAACAATGTACCTTGAATCAGTCTGATTCAAGGTACCTATTTACTGCTAGGTGAAGAGGGAGTGTTGGTGCCACTGTCTCACAGTGTTGGTGACACTGTCTCAGTGTTGGTGCCACTGTCTCACAGTGTTGGTGACAGTCTCACAGTGTTGGTGACACTGTCTCACAGTGTTGGTGACACTGTCTCACAGTGTTGGTGACACTGTCTCAGTGTTGGTGCCACTGTCTCACAGTGTTGGTGACACTGTCTCACAGTGTTGGTGACACTGTCTCACAGTGTTGGTGACACTGTCTCACAGTGTTGGTGACACTGTCTCAGTGTTGGTGACACTGTCTCACAGTGTTGGTGACACTGTCTCAGTGTTGGTGCCACTGTCTCAGTGTTGGTGACTACTGTACACTTCAGTGTTGGTGACACTGTCTCACAGTGTTGGTGACACTGTCTCACAGTGTTGGTGACACTGTCTCACAGTGTTGGTGACACTGTCTCAAGTGTTGGTGACACTGTCTCACAGTGTTGGTGACACTGTCTCACAGTGTTGGTGACACTGTCTCACAGTGTTGGTGACACTGTCTCACAGTGTTGGTGACACTGTCTCACAGTGTTGGTGACACTGTCTCACAGTGTTGGTGACACTGTCTCACAGTGTTGGTGACACTGTCTCACAGTGTTGGTGACACTGTCTCACAGTGTTGGTGACACTGTCTCAGTGTTGGTGACTGTCTCACAGTGTTGGTGACACTGTCTCAGTGTTGGTGACACTGTCTCAGTGTTGGTGACACTGTCTCAGTGTTGGTGACACTGTCTCACAGTGTTGGTGACACTGTCTCACAGTGTTGGTGACACTGTCTCAGTGTTGGTGACACTGTCTCACAGTGTTGGTGACACTGTTCCAGTGTTGGTGGACATCTGTACATCACAGTGTTGGTGACCTGCTCACAGTGTTGGTGACCTCACACAGTGGTGCTCAGTGTTGGTGACACTGTCTCACAGTGTTGGTGACTACTGCTACACACAGTGTTGGTGACTCTCACAGTGTTGGTGACTCTCACAAACAGTGTTGGTGATCCACTCTCACAGTGTTGGTGACTCTTCCACACAGTGTTGGTGACACTCACAACACAGTGTTGGTGACACTTCACAGTGTTGGTGACTCTCCACACAGTGTTGGTGCACTTCACAACACAGTGTTGGTGACTGCTCACAACACAGTGTTGGTGACTCACAAACACAGTGTTGGTGACTCTCACAGTGTTGGTACACTCATCAGTGTTGGTGACTCTCACAGTGTTGGTGACCCAAACACAGTGTTGGTGACTCACAAACACAGTGTTGGTGACTCTCACAAACACAGTGTTGGTGACTCTCACAAACACAGTGTTGGTGACTCTCACAAACACAGTGTTGGTGACTCTCACAAACACAGTGTTGGTGACTCTCACAAACACAGTGTTGGTGACTCTCACAAACACAGTGTTGGTGACTCTCACAAACACAGTGTTGGTGACTCTCACAAACACAGTGTTGGTGACTCTCACAAACACAGTGTTGGTGACTCTCACAAACACAGTGTTGGTGACTCTCACAAACACAGTGTTGGTGACTCTCACAAACACAGTGTTGGTGACTCTCACAAACACAGTGTTGGTGACTCTCACAAACACAGTGTTGGTGACTCTCACAAACACAGTGTTGGTGACTCTCACAAACACAGTGTTGGTGACTCTCACAAACACAGTGTTGGTGACTCTCACAGTGTTGGTTACTCTCACAAACACAGTGTTGGTGACTCACAAACACAGTGTTGGTGACTCTCACAAACACAGTGTTGGTGACTCTCACAAACACAGTGTTGGTGACTCTCACAGTGTTGGTGACTCTCACAAACACAGTGTTGGTTACTCTCACAAACACAGTGTTGGTTACTCTCACAAACAGTGTTGGTGACTCTCACAAACACAGTGTTGGTGACTCTCACAAACACAGTGTTGGTGACTCTCACAAACAGTGTTGGTGACTCTCACAAACACAGTGTTGGTGACTCTCACAAACACAGTGTTGGTGACTCTCACAAAACAGTGTTAGGTGGACTCTCACAAACACAGTGTTGGTGACTCTCACAGTGTTGGTGACTCTCACAAACACAGTGTTGGTGACTCTCACAGTGTTGGTGACTCTCACAAACACAGTGTTGGTGACTCTCACAGTGTTGGTGACTCTCACAAACAGTGTTGGTGACTCTCACAAACACAGTGTTGGTGACTCTCACAGTGTTGGTGACTCTCACAGTGTTGGTGACTCTCACAAACAGTGTTGGTGACTCACACAGTGTTGGTGACTCACAAACACAGTGTTGGTGACTCTCACAAACACAGTGTTGATAACTCTCACAAACACAGTGTTGGTGACTCACACACAGTGTTGGTGACTCTCACACAGTGTTGGTGACTCACAAACACAGTGTTGGTGACTCACAAACACAGTCTCCATATTCCTCACTCACCTCTTCCAGTCACTGTCAAACACCAGAAAAACACATCACTGTTAAAAACAGAGTGAGAGTCACTGATGTGAGAAAGATGCTGGAGGCTGTCAAGAAGGTATCCAGAGCCCTTCTTTACGGTCCATAACACCTAGGATTGGCATAGCATTCTCGACTTACTTGACAAGTGTTGTTTGTGTTGTGGTTAGCCATCTTTTCATCCCGCCAGGATATTGTTAGAGGATTCCTCTTGTTTGTGTGGCTGTTTCTGTGGTTTTTTTAAGTTGGCTTCTATTGTGGTGGGATTTTATAGGTATGGAGGAGAGAACTGCATCATCCCCTGTAATACCTTGGTCCCCTGTAACACCCTGCCACCCCTGTAACACCTTGGTCCCCTGTAACACCTTGGTCTCCTGTAACACCCTGCCACCCCTGTAACACCTTGGTCCCCTGTAATACCCTGGTCCCCTGCTACCCCTGTAACACCCTGCCACCCCTGTAACACCTTGGTCCCCTGTAACACCTTGGTCCCCTGCTACCCCTGTAACACCCTGCCACCCCTGTAACACCTTGGTCCCCTGTAACACCTTGGTCCCCTGTAATACCCTGGTCCCCTGCTACCCCTGTAACACCCTGCCACCCCTGTAACACCTTGGTCCCCTGTAATAACCTGGTCCCCTGTAATACCCTGGTCCCCTGCTACCCCTGTAACACCTTGGTCTCCTGTAACACCCTGGTCCCCTGTAATACCCTGGTCCCCTGCTACCCCTGTAACACCTTGGTCCCCTGTAACACCTTGGTCTCCTGTAATACCCTGGTCCCCTCCTATCCCTGTAACACCCTGCCACCTCTGTAACACACTGGTCCCCTGTAACACCCTGGTCCCTCGTAATACCCTTGTCCCCTGTAACACTCTGGTCCACTGCTACCCCTGAAACACCCTGCCACCCTTGTAACACCCTGGTCCCTCGTAATACCCTGGTCCCTTGTAACACTGGTCCACTGCTACCCCTGAAACACCCTGGTCCCCTGTAACATCCTGCTCCCTTGCTACACCTGTAACACCCTGCCACCCTTGTAACACCCTGGTCCCTCGTAATACCCTGGTCCCTTGTAACACTGGTCCACTGCTACCCCTGAAACACCCTGGTCCCCTGTAACATCCTGCTCCCCTGCTACACCTGTAACACCCTGCCACCCTTGTAACACCCTGGTCCCTCGTAATACCCTGGTCCCTTGTAACACTGGTCCACTGCTACCCCTGAAACACCCTGGTCCCCTGTAACATCCTGCTCCCCTGCTACACCTGTAACACCCTGCCACCCTTGTAACACCCTCGTCCCTCGTAATACCCTGGTCCCTTGTAACACTGGTCCACTGCTACCCCTGAAACACCCTGGTCCCCTGTAACATCCTGCTCCCTTGCTACACCTGTAACACCCTGCCACCCTTGTAACACCCTCGTCCCCTGTAACACCCTGGTCCCCTGTAACACCCTGGTCCCCTGTAACACCCTGCTACCCCTGTAACACGTGTGTGTGTGTATTTGCAAGATGTTACGACCTTGGGACAAGGAGGGAGGGAGGGAGGGAGGGAGGGAGGAGGGAGGGAGGAGGAGATTGTAGGAACTTTGAAATGAGGGAATACAGGAAGAAGAATGGGGAGATGAAATGGTCGAGTAACTGAAGTGATCCGTGGAGGGAAAGTGTGGAGGGAGGGGTGTGGAGGGAAGTGTGGAGGGAGGGTGTGGAGGGAAGTGTGGAGGGAGGGGTGTGGAGGGAAGTGTGGAGGAGGGATGGAGGGAGGGTGTGGAGGGGAGAGGTGTGGAGGGAGGGGTCTGGAGGGAAGTGTGGAGGGAAGTGTGGAGGGAGGGGTGTGGAGGGGGAGGGGTGTGGAGGGGGAGGGGTGTGGAGGGGAGAGGGTGTGGAGGGAGGGGTGTGGAGGGAGGGGTGTGGAGGGGGAGGGGTGTGGAGGGCGAGGGGTGTGGAGGGCGAGGGGTGTGGGGGGAGGGTTGTGGAGGGAGGGAGGTGTGTGGAGGGGAGGGTGTGGAGGGAGGTGTGTGGAGGGGGAGGGGTGTGGAGGGAGGTGTGTGGAGGGGGAGGGGTATTCATAAAATCCCACCCATACTAGACCATGCAGGCAGGTTACATCAGTAGACCATGCTAGGCAGGTATATACTGGACTGCAGGAGGTAACTCATATAGACCATGCTAGGCAGGTTACACTCATGGACCATGCTAGGCAGGTTACACTCATACTGGACCATGCTAGGCAGGTTACACTCATACTAGACCATGCTAGGCAGGTTACACTCATACTAGACCATGCTAGGCAGGTTACACTCATACTGGACCATGCTAGGCAGGTTACACTCATACTAGACCATGCTAGGCAGGTTACACTCATACTGACCATGCTAGGCAGGTTACACTCATACTAGACCATGCTAGGCAGGTTACACTCATACTGGACCATGCTAGGCAGGTTACACTCATACTAGACCATGCTAGGCAGGTTACACTCATACTAGACCATGCTAGGCAGGTTACACTCATACTGGACCATGCTAGGCAGGTTACACTCATACTGGACCATGCTAGGCAGGTTACACTCATACTAGACCATGCTAGGCAGGTTACACTCATACTGGACCATGCTAGGCAGGTTACACTCATACTGGACCATGCTAGGCAGGTATTACACTCATTACTGGACCATGCTAGGCAGGTTACACTCATACTAGGACCATGCTAGGCAGGTTACACTCATACTAGACCATGCTACGCAGGTTACACTCATACTGGACCATGCTAGGCAGGTTACACTCATACTGGACCATGCTAGGCAGGTTACACTCATACTGGACCATGCTAGGCAGGTTACACTCATACTGGACCATGCTAGGCAGGTTACACTCATACTGGACCATGCTAGGCAGGTTACACTCATACTGGACCATACTAGGCAGGTTACACTCATACTGGACCATGCTAGGCAGGTTACACTCATACTGGACCATGCTAGGCAGGTTACACTCATACTGGACCATGCTAGGCAGGTTACACTCATACTGAACCATGCTAGGCAGGTTACACTCATACTGGACCATGGTAGGCAGGTTACACTCATACTGGACCATGCTAGGCAGGTTACACTCATACTGGACCATGCTAGGCAGGTTACACTCATACTGGACCATGCTAGGCAGGTTACACTCATACTGGACCATGCTAGGCAGGTTACACTCATACTGGACCATGCTAGGCAGGTTACACTCATACTGGACCATGCTAGGCAGGTTACACTCATACTGGACCATGCTAGGCAGGTTACACTCATACTGGACCATGCTAGACAGGTTACACTCATACTGGACCATGCTAGGCAGGTCACACTCATACTGGACCATGCTAGGCAGGTTACACTCATACTGGACCATGCTAGGCAGGTCACACTCATACTAGACCATGCTAGGCAGGTTACACTCATACTGGACCATGCTAGGCAGGTCACACTCATACTGGACCATGCTAGGCAGGTCACACTCATACTGGACCATGCTAGACAGGTCACACTCATACTGGACCATGTTAGGCAGGTCACACTCATACTAGACCATGCTAGACAGGTCACACTCACACTGGACCATGCTAGACAGGTCACACTCACACTGGACCATGCTAGACAGGTCACACTCACACTGGACCATGCTAGACAGGTCACACTCACACTGGACCATGCTAGACAGGTCACACTCATACTGGACCATGCTAGACAGGTCACACTCATACTGGACCATGCTAGACAGGTCACACTCACACTGGACCATGCTAGACAGGTCACACTCATACTGGACCATGCTAGACAGGTCACACTCACACTGGACCATGCTAGACAGGTCACACTCATACTGGACCATGCTAGACAGGTCACACTCATACTGGACCATGCTAGGCAGGTCACACTCACACTGGACCATGCTAGACAGGTCACACTCACACTGGACCATGCTAGGCAGGTCACACTCACACTGGACCATGCTAGGCAGGTCAATCTTCAATACATCTTACAGGCCACCTGTACACATCTGTACACATCTGTACAGCACACCTGCACAGTACATCTTACAGCACACCTGTGCACCCCACGTGTACACATCTGTACACATCTAGTTTACAAACCTGTACAACACATCTATACACCACACCTGTACAGTAATATACAGACCTGCAGAGCACACCTGTACAGGTGTGTACAAGGATAATTATGACGCACCTGTAGCCCAACAGACGTGGGAGGTAGTCCTGGATGAGTGGGGGATGTGTGGTGGGGAGAGGGACCTCTCGACCCCCCAATACCCCCACTCAGCCCACTCATGGGTGCCCCGCCCATGAGGGGCATAGGGCCGCCCATCCCGGACGCCCCCAGTCCCATGGGTCCGTCACGGGCGTTGGTGGGACACCCACCAGGGGTGGATATGGGCGTGGAGGAGGAGGATGTGGTAGCAGCCACGGACATAGTGGACGACACACACCCACTATCACGTACACCCATGCTGGAACACGTACAAGACAGTATATATTATATACATAAAAATATACAACGTGAATATATACAATGGTATACATCTATGTATATACACTAATATACATGCTTCTTAGTGTGTATACACAAACCCTCTCGATATACACAAACCCTCTCGATATACACAAACCCTCTCGACATACACAAACCCTCTCGACATACACAAACCCTCTCGATATACACAAACCCTCTCGATATACACAAACCCTCTCGACATACACAAACCCTCTCGATATACACAAACCCTCTCGATATACACAAACCCTCTCGACATACACAAACCCTCTCGATATACACACACCCTCTCGATATACACACCTCTCAGTGTATACATATATATATCTCCACGTGTATATATACGTCTCTTAGTGTATATATACATATATACATCAAGTGTATATATACTGATACACCTCTCAGTGTATATATACAGAGATCTCACTGTATATACACACTGGTATATACATCTCAGTGTATATATATACTGTACTGAGATATAAACATCTAGGGGACTAAGATTTAGTCCCCTAAGCCTTCCTGACTGGGGCCTGAATTCTAGTCTCCAGTCCCTAGTCCTCAGCCCTTAGTCCCTAGCCCTCAGTCCCTAGCCCTCGGCCCTTAGTCCCTATCACTCAGTCCCCAGTTGCTAGTACTAGTACATAATCGTCAGTCCCCAGCACTAATCCCTAGCACTAGCACCCAGTCCCTGGTGCCCCACACTAGGCAGGGCAGTCCACAGACTCCAATATCTCTCTCCACCAGCCCACTCTACTAGCTAGAATGATCCTTCTCCTAGTTACTACTAGCTAGAATGATCCTTCTCCTAGTTACTACTAGCTAGAATGATCCTTCTAGTTACTACTAGCTAGAATGATCCTTCTAGTTACTACTAGCTAGAATGATCCTTCTCCAAGTTGCTACTAGCTAGAATGATCCTTCTCCAAGTTGCTACTAGCTAGAATGATCCTTCTCCAAGTTACTACTAGCTAGAATGATCCTTCTCCAAGTTGCTACTAGCTAGAATGATCCTTCTCCAAGTTGCTACTAGCTAGAATGATCCTTCTCCAAGTTACTACTAGCTAGAATGATCCTTCTCCAAGTTACTACTAGCTAGAATGATCCTTCTCCAAGTTACTACTAGCTAGAATGATCCTTCTCCAAGTTACTACTAGCTAGAATGATCCTTCTCCAAGTTACTACTAGCTAGAATGATCCTTCTCCAAGTTACTACTAGCTAGAATGATCCTTCTAGTTACTACTAGCTAGAATGATCCTTCTAGTTACTACTAGCTAGAATGATCCTTCTAGTTACTACTAGCTAGAATAATCCTTCTAGTTACTACTAGCTAGAATGTTCCTTCTCCAAGTTACTAATAGCTAGAATGATCCTTCTCCAAGTTACTACTAGCTAGAATGATCCTTCTCCAAGTTGCTACTAGCTAGAATGATCCTTCTCCAAGTTACTACTAGCTAGAATGATCCTTCTCCTAGTTACTACTAGCTAGAATGATCCTTCTCCTAGTTACTACTAGCTAGAATGATCCTTCTCCAAGTTACTACTAGCTAGAATGATCCTTCTCCAAGTTACTACTAGCTAGAATGATCCTTCTAGTTACTAGCTAGAATGATCCTTCTAGTTACTAGCTAGAATGATCCTTCTCCAAGTTGCTACTAGCTAGAATGATCCTTCTCCAAGTTACTACTAGCTAGAATGATCCTTCTCCAAGTTACTACTAGCTAGAATGATCCTTCTCCAAGTTACTACTAGCTAGAATGATCCTTCTCCAAGTTACTACTAGCTAGAATGATCCTTCTCCAAGTTACTACTAGCTAGAATGATCCTTCTCCAAGTTACTACTAGCTAGAATGATCCTCCAAGTTACTACTAGCTAGAATGATCCTTCTAGTTACTACTAGCTAGAATGATCCTTCTCCAAGTTACTACTAGCTAGAATGATCCTTCTCCAAGTTACTACTAGCTAGAATGATCCTTCTAGTTACTAGTTAGAATCCTCCTAGTCTAGCTAGAATGATCCTTCTAGTCTACTAGCTAGAATGATCCTAGTCTACTAGTTAGAAAGATCCTTCTAGTCTACTAGCTAGACTGATCGTTCTCCTAGTCTAGCTAGAATGATCCTTCTATTTACTAGAACGATCCTTCTAGTCTACTAGCTAGAACGATCCTTCTAGTACTAGAATGATCTTTCTAGTGTACTACTAGCTAGAATGATCCTTCTAGTCTACTACTAGCTAGAATGGTCCTCCTCGTCTACTAGCTAGAACAATCCTTCTCTTAGTTACTACTACCTAGAATGATCCTTCTAGTCTACTACTAGCTAGAAGGATCCTTCTAGTTACTACTAGCTAGAATTATCCTTCTAGTTAAAATGATCCTTCTCCTAGTCTACTAGCTAGAATGATCCTTCTCCTAGTCTACTACTAGCTAGAATGATCCTTCTAGTCTACTACCAGCTAGAATGATCCTTCTAGTCTACTAGCTAGAATGATCCTTCTAGTATACTAGCTAGAATAATCCTTCTAGTCTACCAGCTAGAATAATCCTTCTAGTCTACCAGCTAGAATGATCCTTCTAGTCTACTACTAGCTAGAATTATCTAGTCTAGTAGCTACAATGATACTTCTAGTCTACTACTAGCTACAATGATCCTTCTAGTCTACTAGCTAGAATGATCCTTCTCCTAGTCTACTAGCTAGAATTGTTCGAGTACCGAGGTGTTCGAGTACCGAGGTGTTCGAATACCGAGGTGCCACTGCCTCAAGTCTGGAGACCTTACCATCCGGGACAAACACAAAACTCACCCACATTTTCCGAGGACACTGAACCTGTGTTAGTAAACACCTGGACAGGATTCACTCATTATATTTTAAGTACCGGTGAAATCGTTTGATACAGTAATCAAACCAGTTACAATGCTCTCATTTTTTAAGGGATTTCCAACTGGCTGGTCTACATTTTGGCTTAGTAAGACCTGCTTAAAAGATTTTATAGGTTGTTTTTCTAACCTGAAATCTGGTTTAGTACGGATGGGAAAAAATCGTCTGGTCAACTTCTGAATTACAACAAAAAAAAACAGAAACTGTGGCTGTCACAACACTTAAATAACTCGAAGGTTTATGAGTTTTCTATGAGTACCTGAGTAGAGTACCTGAGTAATGAGTACCTGAGTAATGAGTACCTGAGTAGTGAGTACCTGAGTACCTGAGTAGAGTACCCGAGTAGTGAGTACCTGAGTAATGAGTACCTGAGTAGTGAGTACCAGAGTAATGAGTACCTGAGTAGAGTACCTGAGTAGAGTACCTGAGTAGAGTACCTGAGTAGTGAGTACCTGAGTAGTGAGTACCAGAGTAATGAGTACCTGAGTAGTGAGTACCTGAGTAGTGAGTACCAGAGTAATGAGTACCTGAGTAGTGAGTACCTAGAGTATGAGTACCTGAGTAGAGTACCTGAGTAATGAGTACCCGAGTAGTGAGTACCAGAGTAATGAGTACCTGAGTAATGAGTACCTGAGTAGTGAGTACCTGAGTAATGAGTACCTGAGTAGAGTACCTGAGTAGTGAGTACCTGAGTAGTGAGTACCAGAGTAATGAGTACCTGAGTAGAGTACCTGAGTAGAGTACCTGAGTAGTGAGTACCTGAGTAATGAGTACCTGAGTAGTGAGTACCAGAGTAATGAGTACCTGAGTAGAGTACCTGAGTAATGAGTACCCGAGTAGAGTACCTGAGTAATGAGTACCTGAGTAGAGTACCTGAGTAATGAGTACCTGAGTAATGAGTACCTGAGTAGAGTACCTGAGTAATGAGTACCTGAGTAGAGTACCTGAGTAATGAGTACCTGAGTAGAGTACCTGAGTAATGAGTACCTGAGTAGAGTACCTGAGTAATGAGTACCTGAGTAATGAGTACCTGAGTAGAGTACCTGAGATGAGTACCTGAGTAATGATACCTGAGTAGAGTACCTGAGTAAGAGTACCTGAGTAGAGTACCTGAGTAATGAGTACCTGAGTAGAGTACCTGAGTAATGAGTACCTGAGTAATGAGTACCTGAGTAGAGTACCTGAGTAATGAGTACCTGAGTAGAGTACCTGAGTAATGAGTACCTGAGTAGAGTACCTGTAATAGTACCTGAGTAGAGTACCTGAGTAGAGTACCTGAGTAATGAGTACCTGAGTAGAGTACCTGAGTAGAGTACCTGAGTAATGAGTACCTGAGTAGAGTACCTGAGTAGAGTACCTGAGTAATGAGTACCTGAGTAGTGAGTACCAGAGTAATGAGTACCTGAGTAGAGTACCTGAGTAATGAGTACCTGAGTAGAATACCTGAGTAATGAGTACCTGAGTAATGAGTACCTGAGTAGAGTACCTGAGTAATGAGTACCTGAGTAGTGAGTACCAGAGTAGAGTTTACCTGAGTAGAGGGTACCTGAGTACAGTACCTGAGAAGAGAGTACCAGAGTAGAGGGTAAATGAGTAGAGGGTGCCTGAGTAGACGGTACCTGAGTAGAGGGTACCTGAGTAGAGGGTACCTTAGTAGAGGGTACCTGAGTAGAGTACCTGAGTACCAGAGAAGGTACCTGAGTAGAGAGTACCTGAGTAGAGGGTACCTGAGTAGAGGGTACCTGAGTAGAGGGGTACCCGAGTAGAGGGTACCTAAGTAGATAGTTTGAGTAAAGGGTACCTGAGTACATGGTACTTGAGTAGAGTACCATGGCTACCAGGGCCTCCTTGTTAATGCCTGGACTAGGTATTAGTACCTGCCTAGTACCTATCTAGTACCAGCTTACCTGTTATTATTCATGGCTACCAGGGTCTCCTTGTTAATGCCTGGACTAGCTACCAGTACCTACCTAGTACCAGTACCTACCTAGTACCAGTACCTACCTAGTACCAGTACCTACCTAGTACCAGCTTACCTGTTATTATTCATGGCTACTAGGGTCTCCTTGTTAATGCCTGGACTAGCTACTAGTACCTACCTAGTACCAGTACCTACCTAGTACCAGCTTACCTGTTATTATTCATGGCTACCAGGGTCTCCTTGTTAATGCCTGGACTAGCTACTAGTACCTACCTAGTACCAGTACCTACCTAGTACCAGCTTACCTGTTATTATTCATGGCTACCAGGGTCTCCTTGTTAATGCCTGGACTAGCTACTAGTACCTACCTAGTACCAGTACCTACCTAGTACCAGCTTACCTGTTATTATTCATGGCTACCAGGGTCTCCTTGTTAATGCCTGGACTAGCTACTAGTACCTACCTAGTACCAGTACCTACCTAGTACCAGCTTACCTGTTATTATTCATGGCTACCAGGGTCTCCTTGTTAATGCCTGGACTGGAGTTATGGTTAGCGTGGATGGTGGGCGTGGTTATTGGGGGTGATGGGCGTGTGGGCGTGGGTGTGGGCGTGCCCAGCAGTGCTCTGTTGCCCAGGGAAGGAAACCCAGCTACCACTGACGGAGGAAGGTTAGGTAGCAGAGGTATCTGGAACATTGCTGCAAATATATAATAGAAAGTACACTTTAGTTACCCCATAATAGTAATAATAATAATAATAATAATAATAGTAATAATAATAATAGTAATAATAATAGTAATAATAATAATAGTAATAATAATAGTAATAATAATAATAGTAATAATAGTAATAATAATAATAATAGTAATAATAATAATAGTAATAATAATAGTAATAATAATAATAATAATAATAATAATAATAATAATAGTAATAATAATAGTAATAATAATAATAATAATAATAATAATAATAGTAATAATAGTAATAATAATAATAGTAATAATAATAGTAATAATAATAATAATAGTAATAATAATAATACTATATTCTGATAGTAAGAAATTAATAATCAATAATAATAACATTAATATTAATTAATAATTAAATTATAATTAATAATAACAGTAATATAATCGCAGTTATATCATAATTGGAATGCCTTTTTTTTTTAACTGTAAATGATTTACAGTTTCCTTAACGTACGTTTGTAAATATTTACAACCCTTGTTTGTTCCCCCATAACCCATAAGGGTTTAACGCTCACTTGTTTTTCATTCAATAAAATATTTCAAGATTTACATTTCAGTTTTCACTAACTGTAAACGCTGTTTACAAACCATGTCTGTAAATAAACCAAAATATCTCTGAACGCACAACACGTCGAACCTTGAAGTGGATGGGCTGCAGCAGCTAAAAGACCACACTGGGTTCCCCTCCTGTCAGCTAAGATCAAGAAACAGGCTACACGAGCATCTCTGAACGCACAACACGTCGAACCTTGAAGTGGATGGGATACAGCAGCTAAAAGACCACACTGGGTTCCCCTCCTGTCAGCTAAGATCAAGAAACAGGCTACACTGGGCCACAAGCTCACAAACTGGACAGATAAAGATTGCAAAACGTCGACTGGTCTGACGAATTGTGATTTCTGCTGCAACATGCAGATGGTGGGGTCAGAATTTGTTGTAAGTGTTTGGGATGTGAAGGAACAGGAGACTCACAAGATGAAGGGATGCTGTCATCTCAACTGGGACCAGAATCGTTAACAAATCTTTCCAGTATCTTGTTCAATAATGACGCCAAGAATTTATGCTGTACCTAATAAAGTGGCCATTGAGTATATGTCGTGCCGAATAGGTAAAACTTGCAGTTTTGGCTTAAATAGCAATGCTCTTCTTGCTGAATAAAGCAAGCAAAAATTTTTGTATGCAATAATTTCGCAAAAATCATTCTGAACCTAACGAAAAAAATATATTTCACTGTGTTTATTAAATTATTATAAACATATCTAAAATATATTTAGCTGGATTAAGCTAAATTAAATTGCGTTTGTTATAATAAGGTCAGGTAAGTTTTCTAAGGTTCTTTTGGTGCAAAATTATTAATTTTTACATTAATATAACTGAAAAAATATATATATCTTTAAACGTATAAGAGAAAATTTTAGAAAGAACTTAATTTTAAATGAGTTCTTGCTAATTGACCAGTTTTACATATTCTGCACGACATATATATATATATTATATATATATAATATAATATATATTATATATATATATATATATATATATATGTACATATGTTTTCAATATTCTTTATGACGTTCATTGACCTAGTAGATAAAATAGATGGTAGTCTATTATGCTTCTATCTTCATGTTTCTCTCTCTCTCTCTCTCGCCTCCTCATACCTCCTCCTCACCCTCCTCCCCCATCCCCCCACACCTCCCTCCCCATCCCCCACCTCCCTCCCAATCCCACCTCCCTCCCCCATCCCCCCCACCTCCCTCCATCTAGACAAAGGCAATGATGGAATAAAATAGAGAGTTTACGAGGGTCGTAGATTCCGCCGCCTTAAAAGATTCCGACCCATAAGAAAATTGTAATCTGGGCAGGTAAACTTTATCCATTAATCTTAAATTTTGCTTTTCAAACATGATTTTTTGGGGAAGAGGTAAGGGGGGGGGGGAGGGGAGGGGGGGAGGGGAGGGGAGGGGGGCAAATCTAACAAGGTCAAGGAGCTGTAGTGTTGAGTGGTCGTGGACATTAGTACTTGTTTTGAGACGGGTTTATAACACTGCCATATAGTGTGTTTTGTATAATATATATATATATATATATATATATATATTTTTATATATAAAAATATATATATATATATATATATATATATATATATATATATAAAAAAAAAAATATAAGAACCACAACACAACACAAAACAAACACAACAAAACCAGTACATCACAACACAACAAACCAACATACAACACTACAAAATACAAAAAACCTAAAAACACAACATACAAACAACAAACAAACACACACAACATACAACAAACCAACATAAAACACACAAACATACAACACAACATACAACAAAACACAACATACAACACAACAAATAAACACAACATAAACACAACATACAACAAAACATAACACACAACACAACATACAACACAACCAACATACAACACAACACAACATACAACAACAATACACACAACACAACATACAACACAACATACAAACAAACAACACAACATACAAAACAACAACACAACAAACTTTACAACACAACATCAAAAACACACAAAAACAACACACAACATACAAACAACAACACAACAAACAACAACAAACTTTACAACAACAAAACAACAACATACAACACAACCACACAACAACACACAACAAACAACAACACACTACAACCAACAACACAAACACAAACTTTAAAAACCAACCAACAAACACAACATACAACACAACATACAACAAACACAACAAAAAATAAACAAAACACAACATACAACACAACAACATACAACACAAAATACAACACAACACACATACAAACAACAACAAAACACAACCACATACAACAACCACACATACAAACAACATAAACACAACATACAAACACAACATACAACACAAAAACAACATACAACACAACAACAAACAACATACAACAACACACAACAACACAACTACAAACAACATACAACACAACACACAACACAACAACAACAAACATCCCAACAACAACACAACAAACATACAACACAACATACAAAAACAACATAAAACAAATACAACACAACATAAACACACAACAAAAACAAAAACAACACAACACAACATACAACACAAAACAACAAACACACAACACAACACAAAAAACAAACAACAACACAAAAAACACAACACAACATACAACAACAACACAACATACAACACAAACATACAACACAACACAAACACAACACAAACACAAAAAATTACAACACAACATACAACACAACATACAAAAACAACAAAACATACAACACAACATACAACATACAACACAAAAAATACAACACAACATACAAAACAACACAACACAACATACAACATACAACACAACATACAACAAAAACAAAACAACATACAACACAACACAACATACAACACACATACAACAACAACACAACATACAACATACAACACAACCCACAACATACAAACAACACAACACAACATACAACAAACAAAAACACAACAAACAACATACAACCAAATACAACACAACATACAACACAACAACCACATACAACACAACAAAACAACACAACAAAAAACACAAAAACAACAAAACAAACAACATACAACCAACACAACATACAAACAAATACAACAAAAACACAACAACCAACACAACAACAACACAAAAAACAAACATACAACAAAAACACAACAACAACACAAACACAACATAAAAAACACAACAACAACACAACAAAAATACAACACAAACAATACAACATACAACCCAACTAACAC